TCCACCCACCTAATGGGATTGAAGTCGGCCATGCAGGACTGGTTGGTGGATTCAAGGCGGCAGTGAAACATATGGGGACCTGTGGGCTCAATCATCCCAAGTGAAGTTTGAACGCGACCATCCACGTCCTCACGGTGCGACAGTTGTTTCCTCTTCGACTGCATGGGTCTTGGGGAGATTGTCTCTGTATATGTTTTCGTGCCTTTTTTCATCAAATAGCTGCAAGATGCTGCAGGCTATAGGGGTCTTAACTTCTCAATAATTAGTGTGGCTCTGGATTGGCGTTTTGTTTTTGCGGGTGCTTCTGCCGTGCTGATGCAGGTGCAGGTAGTGGCCGTAGATCGGCGTTTTGGTTTTGTGGGTGCTGCTGCCGTGCTGATAGTGGTGCAGGGGCTGGATCGGATGCCGGCTGTGACATCATGTCATGCCCGGACTGACATCATGTTATTCCAGGGATAACATAGCGTCATGCCAGGGGTGAAATGCTGTCATATTGTGCATGACAACGTGTTGTGCAGCAATGATCATAATGTCGTCTGGGCAGCTTTGGCTGGTCCTTGCCGATCTTACAGTTTTACGTCTGTTTTGGGCGAAGCGGGCGCATTCTGGACTGGTATGATGTTGCGTGCTGCGGTGACAGCCGTCCGCGGCGTGTCCTTTAATACCCGCTATCTGGGGTCTATACCGGTGTAATTCTGGGATGGCCGGCAATAGAAGCGATTATATATATATATTATATATATATCCTACTTTACGAGCAATGTCCACTTGAAATACAGCAAACACCTGTCACCACTGTTGTGGGCCTTACAGGGTTTCTGCTGGTCTATATAAGTGGTACATCTGCAGTTTTTTCAAGTGAACATCCTAGGATATACTCCACGAGTGGCTACAGTAGAATCCAAAACTGAGCCACCCGGACTTCCCAGTGATCCTTCCGTGCAGCGCTTCCATGCACCTTAGGCCCAAAGGCGAGCAGCTCAAGAGGAGAGGGCTGCAATGTCTTCAGCAAGCGAGGCGACCGAGGAAGCCTTCCAACCCTGATGAAATTGGATGCACTTCCTCAAATCTTCATGGGCCAACGTGGAGAATGCATGGCCGCAATTTTGGATGACCATAGTCCTCTACAAACGGGCAAGTGTCCGTTTCCGTGACTGGGCTTGCCGGGAAGACCCTTCCTGTCGTGCGGACTGAGAACCCTTGTGGCCCGTGGCCTTGTCATGGCCTTGTGGCTGCTACATCAATGTTACCACCCGCCGCTTCTCAGGGTTGGCGGGGATCTAGTAGGATGTACATATCATGCGTTTTTTTGGACATTCTATAGCACATCAATGTGTGACCACCCAATGCCCAAACAAGTTTGCCTTGATTTCCCACGACCCTTTCCAGCCCATCAGGGTTCAGGGCCGAATCATCAAGAGCGCTGCAATGAATACGATGGCAAGGCTTCCACAAGCAATCAAGATCACGAAAAGGCCTTCATGGTCCCACCAGCTGGGGAAAATGCGTGGTCCCGGGAAGTGTGCAGTGTAGAATGTCGAACCATCCACGAAACATGCGTGAAGATACGTGCATGCATGTCCTAATTACATCAATTCTAGCGAACCATGGGAACTCATGTGCGCTGATTGAGGATCCAAACGGAACAAAGCCGATCATCAGCACAACTCAGTAAGGTTTAGTCTGGCTCATAGGTTTCACGCAACCTCCTCAATTTTTCCGGAAAACATCACCTGAAAGAAAGCCAGTCTGTGCTCACAAAAATAGCAAAAACAGAAACGATGACGTCTCATCGACCGACGACTGCCCCATTTTTTGCGGTGGAAAGCCGCTGGGGAACTCCACACGACACTGGATGGACCCTTCTTGCAGTGCACAGCAAACATGCGTCATCCAAGTTTTTCAGACTTCAAACAGACAAATATATCAAAATATGGGGTGACGGATTGAAATGAAACGCCCGCTTGCGCCCTTGAAGCAGCAAGCACCTCCGACGCCGGCTCCCCAGCCTGATGGCCGACCTGAGGCTGTAAACACTGCCAGTGTTCGGCCCTCCCACAAAGCTGGAGGGAATTTGTTGATCCTCCCATGTAGCTGGTAAAACCATGTAAAACCTCATGAACTGCCATACAGGAAGGACCACATCAAAAGGAGTCGACATGATGAACAACTCTGGTCAAAGACCATTTTTGACCCACTGCTTCACACTTTAAAGTCGACCGTCACGTCACGGTCCGTCTGGTCTTGGGTACTCACCCAAGCTGTAGCTTCACTGTTCACACCTGCGTCTCCCAATCCAATCGACCTCCATCAATGACTCCGGTGTGATTCCTTGAGTGTTTCACCCAGGCCGAGGTTGGTGCGTTTCAAGAGGAATGTGACATTATGGTTTGAAAATGTTTGCTGCCTCGGAATGGCATGCGTTCTGCTGATTTCTTCCACCTAATCGGACCCCAAACCCTGGGATACATGAGCCACAATACCTAAAGGCCTGCAGAAAGGGCACCTGGGTTCAATGCACGAGTTTTTGGCAACGTGCAAGGTCCTCCATACCTTCATGTCCAACTCCTTTGCCCCAACTTCCAGTGATCTGTCGCAAGAAAAAACCGCAGATCGACCTGGGCTGTGGTTTTCCAGCCGCTTTGTCTTCTATGTCCGGGCTGCTGGACGCAGCATCCCCTAGAGTCTGCCCGTTTCACACACTGCCTGGTGCACCGTTGGCAGCTTCAGCTACTGAGAACCTTATTCGGCAGCGTGGTTGTTTCCGCATACAGGAGACGAACAATAAGCACCAGAGCCTCACGATATATGGATTTCATGCATTTCTGAATCCACCCTTGTGTTTCAATGAGCCATTTGCCAAAGAAGCTTGCTTGTTTTATTTCATTGTCCGAAATTTCCAGGCTCTTCCCTCGCCATCTCGAACCGGATGGCAGAACAACGGGAAAGAAAAAGCCCGTTGTTAAGGCATTCACCCAGACCCTCTGTACGTGTTACGGCACGAAAGGGTGAACGTTCCTTGGTTTGCCCCCGAAAACCGGAAGCGAGCAAGTCAGACTTGCAGAGACGAAAGAAATTCCGCCCTGTGAGGGTTTCCTCATGGGTTTCTTCACTTTTTGCGAGAAAACGTCTAGACACCCGAGAAAATCCGAGAAATCAGTTGCCTGGACCTCTTTATGACTCGAGAAAAGGCTCATTACCAGGAACATGGCCAGGGCACGCAGTTTCGCCCAAGCTGAGGCACAAAACTTCCAACATACCATGGCCTAGGGCCTTTAGGGTCTACTGGTCTACCCACCTGCTTGGAGGCATCACGCGTACAGCCGTACAGGAAAATCCTAAAGTCAGACTGGGGCTCCACACAGCATCAAGAACAGTCCATAGCTCATCACCTGAAGCTGTCAGTGTCCAATATTGCAGGGGGTGGTGGATGATGATGTCAATGATGTCCTTTCCAGAAATGTGCCTCTCTTAGGTGATTAGACAAGCAACGTGATGCAGGGTGTGCCCTTCTCAGGTCTTCGTCCGTCCAAAATGCTGGAACCGCCATGTCGGTGATGCCACAATGAACATAAATCATGGCATGGCCCTATAGATGGAAATTGACTCTCCTCAATGACTCCTTGGCTGCTGCTGTCGTTTCTGTAGATCTAATCATTCTTGCACTTCCGGCCTTGCTACCTGCCATCGCCGCTGGAGCCGCACGTGTTCTCTTTCAAATAGCTCAACGGTGTATCATATCATGCTCTATATGTTGGGTGTGGCATGTTTGCCATGTTCCGTTTGGGAATTGAACTCTTCACATCGCGGGGCAAAATCTTGAGAAAAGCATCAGCAAACACTCATTTTTCGTCCTTAATTGTTTAGCTACTTCATCTTGGTCTCTGCGGCTTCAGTTTTTGCTGGAGCCCGGATTCGATGCCGCCGGGAAGATGCCTGGGATTCGCCCCGCCCACTGCTCTGCTGCGGGCAGAGACCAAATCGGACAGTATGTTTGAACCGAAAGCTCTACGCTGCGGTGCAAGTGTTACCCATGGGCATTGGAGGTGGAGCAAGATCCTCGTCATTCCATGCACTTTCGGCATTGAGAATGGTAGCTGGATAGTAATTGGTCTCCCGGGCCATGGTTTATCATGGTTCTAACCGAATTGGATCCTCGTTGGCGCCCCCCACCACGGCCCCACCGCCGCACGGTAAAAGAGTCCCACAGGTGGACGTCAAACACGAGGTGTTTGACCTTGGAGCATGCCACAAACGTTGGATTGCTCATGCCCAGGCTGTGTTTTTTTCCCTCTTTTCGGTACATACCTATGTCATTCCGTGAAAGCAACAATAACCAAACACCATTTCCGCTTTCTAAAAATAACCAAACACCCTTTCCGCTTTCTGTGGGATCGAATCGCAGCACCCTGCTGCTCGCACTCTGTTATTTAGCCGTGGATTGAAACAGCAATGACTCAAATGATGTTGGACTGAGACGGGAATTGCGTCTACCTTGCCACGTGCCGAAGCCTGTTCACAACCGTGCTGGACCTGTAAGTTAAAGTGAGTCACAACAGCAAGTCTTGCAAGTCTCACCATAACGATGGAGTATTTTCGTGCTGCAAAGATATTTCTTTGGATGTATGTCATCAATCATGGCTCGCCATCGATGGCTCCGGCACGAGGTCTACGAGCTACGCGCCTCCTCAGCGCTGCGAATGGTCAGCGGATGGCGAGAATTTCTTCGCACCACTGACGAGTGCTCTACTCCTTTGATGGATTCCATTCACGGTCCACTCCTTTCCGAATGATATCACTCGTCCACTCACTCGTCCATATATCAAGGGTGCAGGATGTTGTGGCCCAAAACCGCGGTGGCTACGCTTGAAGTGGGAAGGACGCTCACAGAGGCTCTTGAGTGCGGGCATCTTGGCACCATATTCCAGGCAAAGAACATCAAAGAACCCCCCAAAGTCGACTATGTGAAGGGTTCAACATGGTTCAATAAATTCAACACTCACGGGGTCGGCTTTCTTCTTACAAAACAGCTTTCTCTCGGTTTGTGGCCTTAGGTTGTCGCAAACACGCCCGGCGTTGCCCCCACGTAGTTTCGTGGGGGTTGGGTGAAACGATGAGGATCAGTGTCGCCTCAAATGCCTTCGATATTCTTCATGACCTTGATCGTCGGCGGAGAAGCTAAGTTTGTCACTGCTCTTGGATGCTTTGGGTCAAGAAAGGAGAGGACTCTTGCACTAGTCAGTTTGATAAGTGGAACCTCCTAGTCTGATATATATATGTATATGCACCCTGAGAGTCCAAATGACTCACTTTACCTCTGTAGTGGTGGATTCTGGCTGCCCAAAAAGGGTAAAGTGAGTCATTGCAAGTTCTGGGGCCTGTACGACAGCTCTGACTTTTCGAACACCGAACACTGCCTCTCCTTGCTTTTTCTCCGGTCTGGGACAATGGAAGTCCGATTTTGTGAGGGTGCCCCAGGACTTCCAGCAACCGACTTGGTTGAACTCATCATCTGGTTGAACATCTCATCTCATGACCTCCACAGCTCAAAGGAAAGGGGAGTGATGCGAGAGCGCACTGATGGCAGAAAGCTCCACGTTTACAAAGGTAGAAAGCCCCCGCAGGGAGCTGAAAAGTATCAAGAAAGCTGGAGTCATGCTTCTTTGTTGCCATCCTCGGGTGATCCAGCCCAAAACCAAAGCAATTCCAATTAAACCATGTAAATCCACCAATTCTCGCAATTCTATCCAATTCTCATTCTCAGAACCTTTTCAGAACCCTTTTCCATGGTTCGAAACGACATTCGCTTTGGATCATTTGGATCCCTCCTGTTCCGCCCCGACTGGACGTCCGCCCCCCGGCCTCGCGCAGCTGCAGTTGGCTCTTCCAGGTCGTCACCAGGACCTGGCTCCGGTCGCCGATGGATCACTTTTGGGGTTTCTGTTCCCGGGTGGCCCACTGTAAACATGGTTTTCCACTGTTCCCGGTTTCAGTTTTTTGGGTTTTTGGGTTTTCCACTCTCTGGTTGGTTGGGCTTAGGGCTTTGCTGCTTTAGGATGTCTTTCGTTTTCACTTAGGGCTTCACTTCTTTAGGATGTCTTTGGGTTTGACTCAGGGATTCACTTCTTTAGGGCCTGGTTTGGTTTTGCTTAGGGCTTCCCTCCATTAGGATGTCTTGCGTTTCACTTAGGGCTTCGCTTCTTTAGGGTTTCTGGCTGGTTTGCCATAGGACTTTGCTGTTTTAGGATGTCCTTGGTTGTGACTTAGAGCTTTACTTCTTGAGGGTCTCTTTTGGCCTGCCTTATCGCTTCACTTCTTTAGGATGTCTTTGGCACAAATTCAACAGCATCTCTTGCTCAACATTTTGTGTTTTGTGCACATGGTCGTGGTAATTACGTGCTTTGGCGAAGCTGGGTTTGGTTTTGCTCAGGGCTTTGCTCTTTTAGGGTTTCGTTTGGTTTGCCTGAGGGGCTTGCTTCTTTAAGATGTTTTTGGGTTGGCATTAGGGCTTCAGTGGAGAGGGGCTTAGGGCTTCACTTCTTTAGTCTTTTTTCTTTTGCTTCAGGCTTCACTCCTTTAGGGTTTCATGTGGTTGGGCTTCCGGCTTTGCGTCTCTAGGATGTCTTTGGGTCGGATAAGCCTTTACTTCTTTGGGGTCTCTTTTGGTTTTGCTTCGGGCCTCGCTCCTTTAGGGTTTCTTTGGTCTTAGCTTAGGGCTTCACTTCTTGAGGATGTCTTTGGATTTGACTCAGGGCTTCACTTCTTGAGGATCTGTTTTTGTTTTGCTTAGGGTTTCGATCCTTTAGGTTTTCTTTTGCTTCTTTAGGATGTCTTTGGGTTGGACTTAGGCCTTCACGTGAGGGCGCCTTTGGGATGTCTTGGGTTTCACTTAGGGCTTCACTTCTTCAGGGGGGTTGGTTTGCCTTAGGGCTTTGCTCTTTAGGATGTCTTTCGGTTTCACTGAGGGCTTCAGTTCTTTAGGATGTCTGTGGGTTTGACTCAAGGCTTCACTTCTTTAGGGTTTGGTTTGGTTTTGCTTAGGGTTTCGCTCCTGTAGGGCCACGGTTTCTTTTGGCTTGGCTTAGGGCCTTGCTTCTTTAGGATGTCTGTGGGTTAGACTTAGGCCTTCACCACCACTGTAAACACGGTTTTTTCATCTCATTTCTTGCTAGGACCTTCAAAGTGAAGCCTTTCGATTTCTCTAACTGAACTCTTTGGGGACGAAGTGTGACTCAGTGACCTCATTCTGGGATCTCAAGTGCAGTCACATTGCAGGTCATGGTTGGTCTTCAGCTTCGGAGGCCCTTCCGAACTTCCCGCTCGCCGTTCCGTCCACCTCTCTATGTTGCTTGATCTTCTGTTTCTCCATCTCGCGGTCCTGCTCCATTTGCGCTAAGCCTCGGCTGCTGAACGACTTCAGCACATCAAAGTCAAAATAGCCCGGGGTACCCACACACGGTTGATACTGAAAAACACAGCACCATGAAATAAGTTCTTCCATGACCATCGATGATCCTTTCAGTGGTTCCTTCAAACTCTGTCTCTCACAGTGCTGTTCTTAATGCGTGCAACTCTTTTGCGGCTACAAACCACAAAACTTCCAGACAACCAGCACAAACCACAAAACTTCCGCAACAAAAACAACGTGTTTTTTCACCCATGGCTTCTCTTTCGCTTCACCCAGGCGGCAGTTGTTCACGATCTGCTTCTCTTGGCGCAAGTGCATGGTTCGGTCCACCAGGCGCCGGTTCTGGTCCACCTCCGATCCGATCCAGGGTCGGTCCGATCGTCTGGGTCTCGGCTTGGTGGAACGCGGCACCGCCATGTGGAGCAATCCTATGGGGGAAGACGAAATTAAGAAGTCGTAGGTCAAAATTGCAGCCCACACAAACAGCATATAGCATGGGTGGATTGTGGCCATCTTCCATATGATTCTTCAGTGGGAAAGTACTGCTGACAAGTTCGTGAACTACTGGTTGTTAGCTTCTTGAGTCGAGTGAAGAGCCTGCCCTCTTCCAACCAAACTCAGCATTAGGCATGGTCCATTTCGGTGCTAGCTGAAAAATCCGTCCAATCAATTTCAAGCGTCATGGCAAAGAGTGCGCTCCCACCAATAAGCTGCCTTCAGGAAGGGGGTATCTTGCATTTTCATACTTAGCATACTGAATCGTCCCAATGTTGAAGCTTCGAAGCTCCTTGCCTCGAATCACGGGCACATGTTCTTCTAAAGGTCTCTTGCCTAATATCACCGAGTTCATTCAATTCTGCACTCTATATTATATCATTGGCGCGCCCATCCATCCCCCGCACGCCACCTCCATCTGCTTGATGAGGTCATGGCAGTGATTCCTATGGCTCTGCGACGCTTGCGTCGGCTTGTCCTCCGCGGGCGTTGGCGAACACAAGCTAACGTGACCGTGGCAAAACTGACCGTCACCTAAAGCAACCAGTTGCCAACGTGACCAACAAGACCGCTAATGACTTCTGGCAACAGTCTAGGTTTAAGTTTAAGGTGTCAAGTTTGAGGGCCAGTGACCTTTGGCAACTTGCTCCGATAGGAGAATCGGCTCTTCGCATCCCCCCCAAAAAAACCGGCTGCTACTCTCAGACTTCCATGGACACAGCAAAACACATTGAAAGACCAGCATTCTCAGAGAGCGAGCAAATGACGCACGTTTTGATTTGTGGTTTTGCAGCCACTTGCTGCCACTTGGCAGCCAATTGCAGGCACTTGTCACTCAAGCAAGTAAACTTCAACACTGTACCTTAGAGTTCTTTATGTAAAAACGGTAAGATTTCTTCGTCGCTAGCTCTGCAGAAGCTTGGATTTTTTTTTCGGAAAAGTCTTGGACTATTTCATGATTTCTCCGCACGCAGCTCGGGAGACAACCGGAATTTCTTTGCAGAATGCATTGCAGAAATCTTGGTTTTCTTCAGAAATCATGATATTCTCTGGACAGAAGTAGCAGTCACTTGCAGCCACTTGGCAGCCACTTGCCTGTGGATGCAAAATGGAAAATCAAGCGCTGCGCACCTGCGAGCTCAATGAGCATGGGCGGAAAGAGATGGAGAAATACATCGGGTCGGCCGCTGGTCGACCTCGTCGACCGTCGACCCACCGGTCCTCTGGACCCCAATAGCCGGCCGTCTCTTTCTTCTTATTGGCCTGCGGAGTGGACGGCGGACGGACTCGAACGCGGTGTTGGTGGACAACTCTGAACACGAAGTGCTCAGTTTCGCCATTGGAGGGTCTCTTGGGTCTCGAGTTGATGGTGCACTTGGACGAAGTTTCTCCCAAGTGGTTGAAGCGGGATCATGGGGTTGGGATGAATTGAACACTAGTTCAAAGGACCCACTGCATGGCTTGTAGAGGGGGCCGCTCCATGTAGAGCTATCGCTTTCCAGTGCATTGGCATGTCAAAACCAGGAGGATTTCCACTGGTCAGCATGAACATGAAGGTTTCATTGTTCGTTGATGTTCGTTGTGTCACTCATGTTCTAGCCAGGTGATTTTGCGCAAATGCTTGGGCCACAAAAGGCGATTTCACGGAACCGTGAGGCGTTCACCCGTGCGGATAAGAGCCCAACATGCTTGGGGCGGACTTCCGCATGATCGAGCATCCTTTTGTTGGATCAAAACAGGCGAAGACCTTGACGACCTGGTGAGTCACTGTAATGTTCATGAAGCAAGTCAAGGAAGCATCAAGGAACGGCGATCGGATGGTGAAGGAAACACCATCCAGTACCAGTTGCGCGTTTGGTCCAGCGTGGCCTTCTCTTCTTCCCGTCGCGTCTGCTGCTCTTGCATCTGCTCCTTCAGGAACATGGCCTCAGCCCGCAGCTGTGTCGGTCCGGCTGCGGGTCGTTGGAGGGGGTTTGGAACCTGGCTGTGGGAGCCCCGTGTCGAAACCACCACAGAAGCGGGATGTTCTTTTCAAGATGCACTTATCTATCTCAAGCCTTTTTCAGAACACCTGGCATTTCTCGAAACCTTTCTTCAGGTTCGAGGCCCAGGTGCAGTGGCAGTTGCAGTCACTTGTTCACTGGAGGTGTTGCCTTAGCAATATATGGGCAGTGTATTACTGTAATATGTCAATATATCAATTATTATGTGAATCTTGCTAAATTCAGGTGCTAGGTTCTCTGTCAAAGGTCATTCAACCGGGGAAGCCAAGCCCTTGGACCTTGGAGGAATATGGTTCAGAGTGTCGAAACAACAGCCATTGGGACCTCAATGATGTCCATACTTAAGGACAAATAGAGAGGTGGTCGATTTGGTACTAATATATAACTATATAACTATATATATATTATATAAATCCAAAAGACATCCATACTTACATCCACAGACCTATTGGCTCACCACCATGAGTATCCCCTCTACTAATCAAACAACCGTACTACAGCTATACCGATACTCCCAACCACTGGTCTTCTGGCCCAAGGAACATGCCGACGCCGGGCGTCAGCTTTGGCGGTGGTGCCATCCTCAGAACGACACAGTGAAGCGCTTCACAGTGGAAGCCGACTGGAAGTCCTCGTGGGTCGTCGTGGCCATTGAAGTGGCGTGCCAAATCGTGTCAAATTAAATAAATGTCGGAAGCTAGCTAGGTTGCTGAAGGCAAAACAACACAACACGCACAATTATCTAGTCCATGTACTGTAACTCGAAAGGCAACTTCAGTCAGTCTTCACGTTGCGACTCCGGACATGGTGCCTGTCCCGTTCCCACCAGCCTACATTCCTAGATGCCTCTCTCTCGTATTGAACAAGCTCGGTGTCCTGCTGCCCATCGGGCCAGTTTTGTGGTACAAAGGGATGACGCAATCCCAAGAGTGTCCAACCCTCCAACTGCACGACCATGTGCAACCTGCCTTTGCCCACACTACTCTTCCCCTGTTTCCGCCGGTGGGTTCCACCGTGCCCCACCCTGCGCAGAAAAATCCGAGGTCGCGGCGTGACGCAAGGCATCGGCCACCAGCATGGAATCTTCTAAGGTCTGCACCTCTTCCTCCGGTCGTGTCGTGATGAGTGGGGGTCGAATTGATGGGGGTCGAAGATGAAGGTCTTCACCATCCCTCAAAGACGACAGAAGTTAAGTGTCCCTAAAAATCTAGGAACCCAATGAACAGTGCGAGCGCATCTTCAAGGAATGAGCTATCCTGCGTCGAGGTAGTACCTTCCTAGGTAGTAGCTACTTAAGCCTTAAGCTACTACCAGCTACCTCTTAGCGGCCGACCCCTCCCCCCCCGGGCTTTTAACAAAACGATGGAGAGCGGAAATTGAACGGAAGCAAAGCAATGGTACGAAGCTGAGGGTAGTTCTCATGCTGGGTTTTCAGACTGATAGCCAGTTGACAGCCAGTTGCATGAATAGTGCCGAGTGCCTTACTTCTCTTCACCATCTTCACCAAACTCCAGCCAGACTCACATCCAGGCATACAAAATAGAGAACACTATAGAACACCCATCTCAAAAAGGTGTCCATTCTTCGATGCTGCCTAAGACTCCTACTAGCTCACCAACCAGCTTAGCCCTCTACTCCCTCTAACTGAAGAGGCCTACCAACCACCCTGCCATCAACGCAGCGCAGCAGCTTACACCACGCTCCTGGCGCTTCCTTGCCAGCTGCGCGAGTTCAATCTTCGTCTGCTCCACCTGTCTTCGTTGACGCGCGGTGAGTGTGTCTATCCTTGGTCAAAGATTGGTCTGGCCGGCTTGGATTTGCGCCTGTGACGAAAGTTGGTTTCGCAGGAGATGAGGGCATGATCTTGCGGGACATGATCGCTCACAATTTCTATAGTCTGCCCTGACGTGGTCAAATGCAGCTGCCAGTGGGGCGGGCTCTTTCAGCGAAGTAGCTTAAAACTTGAGACTTGATATTCTCCGCTTTATCAAGGATGTATGGCTTGACAAAAGTCGCCCCCAGAGAAAAAGACCGGCATCGCATGGGCGGACTGGGTGCCCTCAGAGCGTGGCATGGTGTGTCGAGCAGCGGTCGCATCCCAAGCGCTGTGGCCTTCTCTTCTAGAGTTCTTCGCACATGATCATCGTAGAGCCGCCGCGACCTAGAGTGGCTTAAATGAGAAGACCGTTGAGACCGTTGGTGACGGAACGTGCAGGAGCATGGCCCTCTTCAAGAGTAAGATACTGGCAAAGGAAGGTCATGTTCATGAGCTGGCTGTATATTGCAAGGACTTCTCTTGCAGAATCAATGGATCACACAGCGTTAAACCCAATGATGCCCAAATGTGCTTCTAAAAATATATGTGGAAACTCAGGCGCCTATGTTCAAATCTTGTGTCAGAACTTTGCCCAATTGAGTTGCGCAACGATAGTTTGGTTGTCCAAGAACCTCCTTGAAGAGAAAAGATGTGGGCAACATCGCTCAATAACTTCACTCGGTGGTTTGGTGTGGTGGGTGACTTGGTGAGGCTGTGGAAGACTTGGACCCCCCTGGAAGGTTATATAAGTCAACCACTTGTGGCCGGGTTAGCCACTGTGAGACATGTGCTAACCTGAAACGCCTAAACATCCAAAAACACTCCAAAGCAAACAAGTGTGACCAAACATTCTTTCGAGAAGGATCCGTTTTGCATCGTTTTGCAGTATTGACAGTCAGCCCGACTCTGGGAGGCTGCACTTGTGATCTCGAGCCTTTGTCAAGAACACCGGGTGCCTGGTGATCGGGACCGGAGATGACCGGAGAAGGAGGGACCCATCCTGAGATGGAAACATGGAGGGGAGAAGCTGGTCGGTTTAATCATCGTTTTTTTGCAGTCACTGGTTTAAGGTCATTGTAGCTTCTTCTCCCCAGGACAAGAATCAATCCGTTCCCAAAGAAGATAAAGAAAGAGACATGGGCCGCTGGGTTTGCTTTGGGCCTTCAACGTGAAGAAGAATCTCGGCCAATAAAGCCTTCGGGAGGTCGAGAGATGTCGAGAATCCTTGGTGATTTCAGAGAGCCACATCAGCAGCTAGCAGCAATTCCAGGAAACTCTGCGTGTTTTAGGTTTCCCAACAACTCACCTCACAACCGTCACAACCCCAAAACCCTCCCCTTCTCAGGAAGAACATCGGGCCAAAAGTTGGTGTCTTTCCCCCACCAGCATCACCAGCCCATCGCAGGCCATCCCAAACATCGTCCGCAAGCCGTCCGCCTCTGCATATGTGGGCAGGTCTCATCCACCAGCTTCATCTCCGCCTCGGGGATCGCATCCCCATGCTGCACCTCCGGGGTCAGTGGGGCCTCCACAAGGAACAGCGGCTCCTCCTCGGTCAGTTCTGGGAGATTCTTTCTTGGGGAGCCGGGTGGGAACCGGGCTGAACATAAAGGAACATACCAGGTTGCCGCGGAGAAGGAGCAGCTTTCTTTGCGACAGTCTTTGAATTGGTTTGGACATGCGGTTGGAGAAGCAAAACTGTGAAGGACATGGACGAGGGGTAAACGACAAATCAAACAAGACACTGCACACAATACAGGACCTTGACCGACCATTGGAAGGGAGGAAACGAAGAGATCAATAAGAGTGGAATGGCAAAGGGCACAAACAAGTCAATCAAGTATAGCAAAACAGTCACCCGTCAAAACAAACAAATTACAAGAAAAAACAATTTCGCAGCACATGGCAACCTACACGCTTTCTGGACAAAGATCCCTGTGTTAACCAGCGGTCTTGTGCCATTTGCCTGCAACCATTGTATTTTTAACTTCCTACAAATGTGGGTGCCAAAGCATCTAGCCGAGTCCCCTAGCTGAAAGAACTTCGCCCACTACTCGTCGAGGTGCCATGGTCTGGGACTGCATCGTCGATTGCGGAGTCGCCTGGAGTTGCTTGAGCAACTGGGCTTGTCCAAGGAGTCTGACGATGCCCGGGTGATCATTCGGTTTAGTATATATAAAGTATATATGACGATGAAGCTGGCCTGGTTCATCACGCATTACAAACTACACCCAAATTGAAATAAAGAGTACTTACCGGGCTCATGGTCTCCTTCTCTCTATCGGCCTTAGACTTCCTGAGACAAAACCACATTTCTGCAAACGAAGACTGTAGAGACTTGGGCACAAACATGGAAGAATCATGATCCTTTTCACTTGTGCTACTCGGGGCTCTAACTCTGAGTTTTGATCACATCCCGAGGCAACAAACAACAACTAGCATGGACACTGATTCGGGCGTCAAACTTGCATCCAGTTCCATCCTGGGAAGACTCGATGTCCTCTTGTAAATGTGTGTCGGCATATGGGTGGTGAATGCCACCGGCCTAAAGTGCCTTTAGGACTGGACTTTGTCAATCTTTACACATCGTGTCCTTCAGTGGGTTCCCGATGAAATGGCACTTCACCACAGTTAGTTCATTTATGGACCTCCATTTGAAGGAGTCATCTCTTAAGCAAATGGCTACTTGTGCTATCTGCTATTATTTAATATACAAAAAACACGGGGTCATGCAGGAGCTTTGTCGCAATTGTGCTGACTTAAACACGTATAGCTTTTAGAACGTTTGAAGGTGCATCTTGATCTGTCGCGGTTCATCATATCACACGATGCTTTTCCGGTGGATGATGTTGCCGGCCTTCGGCTGGACAGGGTAGAGCAGGATGTTGTCCACCCGTGTGTCCTCACGTGAACCGGCGGCCCACGAAAGGAAGTAGTATGATAAATGGACTCCCTGCAACAATCATAGAGGCACATGGTCTTTCCCGGGGCCGTTGTGCACTTCCATGATTGTTGCAGGGTAGGTTTCAAGATGTTTTAAGGGTGGCCCACAACCAGCAGCATGTTCGTGCACGGCACGTTTCCTGGCGAGCATGGCTGGTGGAATTTTGCATATATATATATACTAGACTAAACCGCATATACTATATATATACACTGCACTGAATGGCGGCAGCGCTGGTCACACAAATCTAGCTTGGAGGCATCATACACGGGGCAACTAAACGATACACGACGAAAAACAGTGACCCCAACTAGATAGACAAGTCATTCCACTGAGCTGTTCTTGGTCCACTCTTTTCTGTTTGGAGATCCCATGAAGTCACCGCACACGTCAATAGTTTTTGTTCCCTTAAATGCGTGGCCTACCGATGCCATTTTTCCTAATACACTCCTACTCTTAGTATCCTCCGTTTGCTGTGGTGTGCATTGTGTTGGTTCGGGCTTCCTTTTTCTGTTGATCTTCCTCTTTCGCAGCCACTCCAAAATTAGCAAATTCTAATTCTATGCGCTGTCACCAACTGTTAGGTTTGAGTATTGCACAATGTCACAACATATTGACCATGAATGACCATTCCATACCTCTCGTCCAGAACGACAAACACAACATTCAATCACCACCAGTAGGTCACTGGGTATGATGAAAAGCTGTTCAGTGAGTCCTCGTTTTGCAGCGACATCTGGCCCGCAAAGAAAGCTCATGAATTGATAGCGTTGAAGGCTGGTAGGCCCAAGTCTTTGTAGAACTGAACCCTTATCTAGCTGGGGACATGGGCAAGCATCGGTAGAAAATGGTGTTCGCACATTTCAAGACCTTTGCAGGAAGTACACTGCTTGAAAGAATCATGGTTACGTGGATGGCATGGCCCCTTGGATGGTTACGTCATGCTCTACCAACAGCTGTTTGTTCTCCTTGTTTTCCACTTCCATGACTTGGAGTGGACGATTGCCAAGCTCCGAGACTGACGCCCCTGGAGTCAGTCCCAAACCCCCTCTCCTGGATCAGCTGGTCCTAAACGCGAACCGCGAAGCAAGCAACGGGACCCACGGGCCAATGGTGCGAAGATCAGCTGGATTCTGCATGGCATGGCATTTACATGGCATGAATCATTCGTTGATCTATCAACAATTGGATGTGTCATCTGACCACATCCTCAAACAATACTAGAAACATCATGAAGCATCAGTTGTTGCTGTCACCGCTCTTCCCCGGCAAAACCTCCGTTCCCCCGCAAGACCGACATGACGGCTGAAGTTGTGAGCCATGGCTCACCCAACATCTTCCCAACCTGCCTACCCATCGTGCCCTTCCAAACACTCAACTGTTCAGCACATTCGAACACACTCTGACATTGGTTTTCAGTTCACTCAGTTCCCAAAAGACACAAAACACACACACACAAAAGACCAAACAAACAACCCCAAAAGACCCAAACCCTGTCGAACCTGTGAAGCGTTCGCTTCGACAGGTTCGAGTCCCACGTCAAAACCCGTGTTGAAACGGCACCAACGATGGCTCCGCAGCCCCTCTCGGAGCTTGGTGGAGCGGTGTCGGGGCACCCCATCCGACTCAGGTCGACGGTCATGATCCGATCATCAAGTAACCACCTCGCAAGACTCGTCCCGGAACGAGGCACGTTCCGGGGCGGCTTCTGCTCGCGCTGCTTCTGAAGAAAGCCCTGCATCTCTTCCCGAAGCACTTGGCTTTTGGCGGCTCGGCCCTGGCGGTCTGGGCCCGATAGGATGGAGAGTTGTTGCCTTCAGTGCAGTGGACAGGTGTGAAATCTCCGGTCAAATCCCAGTGCTGCTTCCTCTCAATAGCCATCGTGACAAACATCCAAAGACAGCCAAATACTATAATATATATATATAAATGTTAAAGCGCTCACACTTCCAATATGGTGGAATAGTAGAACGGTTGGTCTTACACTAAACAGATCCATACAGTACATCAAGCCTACCACCAGCATCCACCAGCTGCCAGCATCCCAGAACCTGCCTTCGCAATGGTCTCCCCCTCCACGAAGGGGAAGTACGACACTGGAGGGCCTCCCACGGTCTGACTCACCACATCAGCAACAGCTGAAGATCTCAAGGTCATTTCGCCCAGTGGCCAAATGGCCTGGAAAATAACTCACATGATAGAACCTTCCAAAGGGACCCCCTCTCTTAGCCTTGCAACTTCTCTTCAAAGGAAGGAGGTCAGGAGATTGTCCCTTATTCAATTATTAAATAACATATTTCAACTAGGAAATGGCTCCCCTTGAAAGGTGTAGACCTCACAACTCTCTCCATGAAGTTAGTGTTGGAACATTTTGGAACCCCGGCAAATGGCCTCTCTTGGAAGCCTTCAGTGCTGCTCTCTGTTGTTCCTTTTCGGCAATGCTGGCTTTGTATTGCTGCCTTGGGCGGGGCACAGCAGCACCCTGGTAGAGCTGTGCCATTAGGAGAAACAAAGTGAACACTCAGTTTTTTTTGTGAGCACCCCAATGTTGAGCAAGCCTGCGTTTCACCTCTATATATCCTGTGTGAGGTTCGAAGAACCCTTGGAGATTTCCAAAAAGAGCAACTTGCCCATCCGAAGAAGCTCTGGCATTCAGGCTCTTGGCTTTGGTGAAATGAGAGCTTCCATGAAGCGTTCTCAAAGTTCTTCAATTAGGGCCGAGGTCAAACACTTCAGTAGGCTCAGTCAGGGTTTCACTGTAGAACGATGTCCGGCCTCTGTTACTAGACTGAACGACCGAAGCCATAGAGTCAAGCTCCAGCAAGCTTCCACCGAACATGGCCAACTGGCGGTCTCGTTCAATTGACCAAGTCAAGTGGATTGGCACTTGGTGACATCTCAAGGTCAAGCTGCAGCATCCTTCAGTCTCGTTAGATCTGAAAGGTTGGTGTTTCACCCGGGGTCAACGCTTCGACGCTAAGAAAGCTGCTGCTTTGATCTGCTTTGGCCCAAGCCCAACCTATTCTGCAAGCAACTATATACGCTCTGGTGTCTCAATATCCAATCCAATCCAGAAGGAAAACCCAAAGGTCAGGGTGGCCTGGGCGGAGTCCAGCAATCAATGAAACACTGTGCGAAAAACCAAGGGACGCCAGGTCCTTCAGCATGGAGCGCCTGCTCTGCACTGTCGCCTTGCATGAAAACCCAGCGAGGCGGGATGTTCAGATGAGGAATCCTCAATTCATGTGACGCTACGCCTCGTGACGCTACGTGAGAGTACGTGGCCACGCTTTCGCCTAGTGACCCTCGAAAAAACATGACTCTCCCCATCGGCGATAGAACAGTAAGAAATCAACAGAAGGCTCAGAACCCTGTGGAAGTTTTGATAGAAGCTGTCAGAGCCAGAGGTGACGAAGCCGGGGGATGAAGCAAAAATTCACACCACTGGACACCTGGTGGGCGCAAAAACTTGGACAGGTGCTATAGGTTTATCTCAACAATCGATCAACCAACCATCACACAACTGCATCGCTTTTCTGATTCTGATTCTCGTGATCTCCCAACACTCTCCAAATGCCCAAGCTGTCCAGGTTCGCCTTGTCCCCACCTGAACAGAATAAACGACTGAGGAGGTCCATCTACCAGGGTTTAGGGGTTTTGACGCACAGCCAACTGTCCCGACTACACCTGTCCTTCTGTTTTCGCCCGCCCGGCCGTGCCTTGAGACCTTCGCTCTTCATCCGATCTTCTTCAATGAGCTTTTGCACCATCTCGCGGCTGTTCTTCCGCGCCAGGGCCTGATTTGGTGCTTTTCGGGTTCGGATGATCAGTAGGTCAGTATATAAATATATAATAATATATAGGTTTCTCATGGGATGATCCTTCAAATCTGGTGGAGCACTCGAGCTCTGAGGCCACATTCGAAGACATTGGTTGCTATATGCAGTGGTGACTGGCAAACAACTGTGGGTCAGACGAACTTTCAAACGTTTCGGCAATCTCTAGGTGGAGCAATTCTAATCTCTGACAGAAACAAAACAGAAAAAGGCTGCTTGGGGCCTTCTGCTCCTTCTTCTCCTCGATGAGTTGCTTGTTCTCCTCGAGCAATTCTCTAGCAGACCTCACGGCTTCAGAGTTCTGTTCCGCTTCTGCTTCCTTTTTTCCACCTCTCTGTTCCTCTCTCCCTCTGAAACTACAAGTGAACTATAAGGCTCCCCACATGGGCAAAGAGCCTCGTCCTCCCTTTGAAGGCCTCGGAACTTTCAGAGCCGTGGCGTTTCGGTGCGGGCGCTAGGTCACACGGCAGCCCAGCGGGCCCAGCGCCCTTCATCCAGTCCAGCGCCCTCCACCTCTATGGGTCATGGGTCAGCCCCACTCTCGATCTCATGATCCCTTCCACAGGGCAGCACCAGCCTCGGCAAAAGCCGCGTCTCCATTTCATCAACTGTCATCGACATGGACATATCCTGGCAGGACCAATGAAAAATGCAAACATGATACGCAAAGTAGATGAGACCAATGACATCTCTTGGCTTTGCATATCTCCGAATGCTCTGTTCCCACCATCCTGCGATGGAACCCACCCAGAAAAACATAACGTCCCTTGAGAATCCTTGAGATGCCGGAAACGCTGGGCGGAACTCTGGTGATTCGACCCCCCGCTGTTAAGATTGTTAAGTCACTACTTGGGAGAAACTGCAAGAGGTTAATCGGTGCCATACATGTAATAATATACATGGCATTACATGGCTATATACTGACTAGCAAGAATAAGAAAGAGGCTTATTGCTGTTGCGCTGCTTTCGGAATGACTTCGGGCCAAATTATGCACTGAATAGAATCCTCTCTGAGAAAATTTGTTTTCTGAACCGTCTGAACCAAACTCAAATGAAAACAACGCACGGAGGCAACATTTTCCAAAAAAGGTCCCAAAGAAGCATAGGAAAAGAAACAAAAATCTGTTTTGAATCGATCCGTTTATCTGCCCGATTGTTTTGATCCATGATTCTTGACTCTTCCTGGGTGTGTTGTTTTCACTTGACTTTTTGGGCGAACTCTTTTTGAGCAAATGCACCCCCCTTCAACGGCTTCCACAGTGTCTTTCGCCTGCGATCGAGTGCTGTTGGCGCTCGGCGGCCCTCGTGGAGTCGACTCCCTGAGGCAAGGAGTCGAGGAGACACGAAGGACGACCGTGGGTTCCATGGAAGCGGAACATGGATGAACATGGTTCCCCTCCAAGACACCCTGTTTCTTAACAACACAGCATGGCGGGAAGTCCCACTTCATGTGAGGTCTTTCGAGGGATAATGGCGCCTCAGCATCTGCAAATATCCACAGCACCCATCGGTACTGCCCGTAGCTACTAGTAGCGTCCTTGCTACTAGTAGCAATGGACTCCCACCTAATAGCGACGGCCTCCACCTAGTAGCTTCTCGCTACGGCCTCCACCTAGTAGCTTCCTGCTACTAGCAGCAATGGCCTCCAACCTAATAGCGATGGTCTCCACCTATAGTATCTTCTTGCTACTAGTGGCACTGGCCTTCAACCGAATAGCCATGGCCCCCACCTAGTAGCTTCTTGCTACTAGTAGCAATGGCCTCCAACCTAGTAGCGATGGCCTCCAACTTAGTAGCGATGGCCTCCACCTAGTAGCTTCTTGCTACTAGTAGCAATGGCCTCCAACCTACTAGCGATGGCCTCCACCCAGTAGCTTCTTGCTACTAGTGGCAATGGCTCTTGCTACTAGTAGCAATGGCCTCCAACCTAATAGCGATGGCCTCCACCTAGTAGCTTCTTGCTACTAGTAGCAATGGCCTCCAACCTAATAGAGATGGCCTCCACCTAGTATATAGTAGCAACTGCCTCCAACCTAATAGCGATGGCCTCTATCTCGTAGCTTCTTGCTACTAGTAGCAATAGCCTCCAACCCAATAGCGATGGCCTCAACCTAGTAGCTTCTTGCTACTAGTAGCAATGGCCTCCAACCTGGCCTCCACCTAGTAGCTCCTTGCTACTAGTAGCAATAGCCTCCAACCTAATAGCGATGGCCTCAACCTAGTAGTAGCAATAGCCTCTAACCTAAAAGCGGTGGCCTTAGCTTCTTGCTACTAGTAGCAATAGCCTCAAACCTAATAGCGATGGCCTCAACCTAGTAGCTTCTTGCTACTAGTAGCAATAGCCTCCAACCCAATAGCGAAGGCCTCCACCTGGTAGTTTCTTGCTACTAGTAGCAATAGCCTCCAGC